GAAAACAACATTTCAAATCGAAGCCCCTTAACTATATTATTATGGTATACTCTGTATATGAACAGAGATGGTTTCTCGTTCTAATCTCCGTCTAGTCAACATTTCCCTGTAGTAGAAGACACGAGTTCAATATCTCTTTATTGCTAAGAAATAGAAAGCCCCAAAGTCTATGGCAATTAAACATAACTCATATACCACTTAACTAATATGCCTCTTAAAAAAATATATATATTTACATATATAACAGTAGAATTCGTTGATAATGACTCAGTTTATAGCCTGCATATAAACTTATAGGTTCTTCCGGGTATAACGACAGTCCCTAGTGCGTCGTTATAATCGGATTTTGCTGTATTTATAAATGTCATCATTCAACTTCGAAGCGAAATGAATCAATTTATTCTCTGCTACAAAAGGAGCTATAGATTTCCTCATATTCAAGATTTTCTGCATAAATCCCAAGTTCCGAACACTGAACTAAGAAGGAAAACCACTTTAAATAGATGAAGTATGCATAAGGATGCATTGAGGTGTGACCGACTTGAACATATTCTCCATTCATTTCAATGTAAAGTCCCTCGAGACTATAAGTTTATAACAAAGTTTGGGTTTGAATGTTTTCAAAGGTATAAGAAAGGGTATCTACAGTCTAGTTTCTAGTCTATACATTTATATATATTGGAGATTAGAAATAAAATAAAATAATTGCTAATTTAAACCTGAAGTATTTCATCAAACAGATATGATTATCTAGATCAAATAATTGGCCTATTCTGGTTAAGGTATGTATATCCTATGCAATATTCTATATATAAAGTCTATTGAGTTTTTCTAAGTCTGTCATTATTAAGAAGAATATATTTATATACATATATATACACCTTGTGGGCTTCCTTCCACATTCCACTACCTACTATATATATATATTTTTTAAGGTTATGTTAGGTTAATTATCGTTTTCAATTTTCCCACGAATCGAACTAAGAACATATAAATTAGTTTTGCACCGTTAGGCGGTTAGGAATTTGGCTTACATTTGTATATTGAAAGTTTTCGCAAAGCTTTGTTTGGCTTGGCTAAAAGCTTGCACGCGCACAGTGACTGTCAAACTGCAGCTGGAAGCTTTCCAACAACGTTAACAGCCGCCGTGGTGGAATTCCATTTGGCCTTAACATTTGCGTCACTCTGCGATGGCTGATAACATTTCCAATGCTCACTGTGTAGGGTATGAGAAACTGTTTCTGAATTGTGTAGACCGTAAAGCCGTAGAGCTATGAATACTTGAATTACGTGAGATAAAGTGGTTTTATCTCATGATAATCGTAGAATAAGGCGAAATTAATTTTGGCTAAGTTTTTTATTATACTAATATATATATTTAATTTATTACATACTATTTAATATATATACTATATACAGGGTATTTTATTGTTCGCTTCAGACAGCCCTTTTATTTAATTTGTTTTTTTTTTTTCGGATCGCGGTTTTCAACTTTATACTTATTTCTTTATACATATATGTATATATATTTGTGTGTGTGTAGGTATGTTTAGAGTGATATGCATAAGGCGATAAGTCGCGGCCACCTCTTGACTTCAGTCGAAAGGCGGGCATCCGCCCAGATCTTGGGCATTGGCGTGTTCTTGGTCAGACTGACCCAAATACTGGGGCGTCCCGCTGATAGGACAGGTCGCAGAGGCAGCAGAGGCAGGCGAGGCAACAGCAACTGTAGCAGCAGCAGCAGCAGCAGAAGCAGCAGCAGCAGCTGTAGAAGCAGCAGCAGCATTCGCATTATCTTTTTCTTCCAAGTAATTAAAATGCTCATCTAAAATTATTTTTAGACGCGCGGCTATCAACAACGGAAGCCACAATTCAAATCTTTTGGCTCGGCTTCTACGGGAAAAAACGCAACGCGCCGATTGGTCGTTGCCAGCCGGGCGGCTGGGCGGTTGGGCGCCTGGACGGCCGCAAGGGGGGTGCACTGCGCTGGGCCGGGTTTGGCGCATGCGCTGAGCGCGCCTTCGGCTGACGAGGCGCCAATGGGAAGGCCGCCAGCCGTGGGTGGCATTCGGGTGGCCAACGGGAACAACAGGAGGTGGCAGCAATTGGCCGCCCAGTGGCAGCTCCTGCCAATTCGCTAGAACTCGCCTCGATCCTGGCAGGCATAGGATATGTATGGACATGTTAGGTCCCTGTGATGCTTCTAGCGAGCATAAGGTATATCAATATTTGCATATATGATTAGAAACGTATCATCAGCTAGTCTCACCTTAGAATGTCGTGGTTGCTCATAGGCCAAAGATCTGGTTCTAGGGTCAACTACTTTATCTGCTTGTGTAGCATTCAGGATAGCTCTATCCTATAAATGTGGGCCTTGTCCATTAAGTAGTACGGCGTATGGAAACGCTAAGGATTTTAACACGTCGCTCCACTAAATAAATAACGTCCTTGGCATGCAGTTTTTCTAGTAGAGCCATCTGACTTCCTCTACTTTTCCCTGGAAACCTGAACCACTACATCAGTAGCTCTCATTGTGTATTTTCCGACCTTTGGGGCCGCACAAGTTTTATTAGTCTTATTGAATATATTAAGTATATTGAATATAGTGTGTTAGGGTCTTGTCTTTGCTAATATAGAAAATTCTCTGTTTACTGGAGCTTCCGAAAATAACTTTTATTGCTTTTTAAAGTGAGGGATACGCCGTCTTGTGGCTTTTAATATCAGTATTTCCGCCGATAAATATTCCTTCCGAAAGCCTTTTTATCGGTAAATAAATAAGCTGCAATCTTAGTCTACTCTTTTAGAACGATGATCCTCTGTTAGCATTTTGTCTGTTGGAATAGTTGGTCCTCATTTTGAATTCTACAACCGAGATTTTAAAGACCTCTGCTGAAATTATTATTTTTGCGGGGTATTGATAACTTCATGAAATAAACTCATGATAAACTGCCTGTAAGATCATCCAGCGCTCTCCAGTTCTTGATGTCTGCTAAGATGCTCGGGGTTTATCTAGTATAATAGCGTTGCTTCCTTATATTACTAAAATTAGTCCTAGCGGAAATATCCAATCGTTTCCATCCTTTTGAATGCCCAGTCCTCCCAGTGTATTGACCTTGACGGCACACTAAGATACCCTCGATTTCTATTTGGAACGTATTTATGACGTGTGAGGTGACAGTTGGCGTTGTAGATTCGCAAGAAGAGCTTTCATCACTGCATTTGTGATTGCTTTCCAAGAAATAGTGATTTGGTTATCTCAGCATATGACTAACATTATCATTATATTATGTGCTAAAGTATTGTGATCATCCATCATTCATTCTGGTTCTATCGTATAGGTCAGGAGGTCATCGTCCTCGTCTGTTAATGATTTCATATATTCTGAGTATATATTGCCCAAATTAAGTATACCTGCAAATGCGCTTTCTGGGCCTACAAAAGCAATAAGCCCGAGTGCTACCATTTTATGTTCTCAGCATCTGTGCGAGCTCGGAAGAAATACCTTTTTCACCAGCCTCATTCTATTCGATAAATAATAGAAACACGTTTCAGTTTACTTTGTTTATATCTTCAGCTGCAGCCATCTATATCTCTGCCATATCTGGGCTGGGTCTGATCGGGTCTGGAAAGTGAAATGTTGTTCCGCAGTGCGATAATATGAACAGCGGCCCAAAAACAAGTAAAAAGTAACAAAAACTCTCACATTCTCCAACTTTTCTCCCACTTGAACTCGCTGTCAGACAGCATTGCCTCAAATACCCCGCATTTGTTCAGCGAAGATGGCATATTTGTGCCCAGTATATATCTAGCTGTAAATATTATTATGATTAGATATATTATTATATACATTTATTTTATCATAAGACTAAATGCATAAAAATGACTAAGTATGTTAATATTTCAATAGTATATTTTTAAAGGGTATTTAACAGTCGGTACGGTCAAACTGGATAGCTCGAAATGCAAACAACTTGAAAGCTGAACACAAAATGCGTTGAAAAGGAGACGCGAAACAAAAAGAACTGCACTAATAGCAAATGCAAGCAGCGCCACCTAGCGACCATAAGACAAATAACAAATCTACACTCAAGCACACATAACATGTACACAGATACATACATATCTTAATGCATGCATACATACACATGTACACTTGGGCATGTTCACATTGCGCTCTATCAGTGGGCGCTGCATTTGGGTTGCCTTTTCGGTTAGTGTTGGTCTCTTCACGCCAATTTATCAGTTGACCTACAGAGCTGCAGCAGCAGCGCAGCACTGACGTCGCGACGCGTCGCGTAGCGTTGCATTTGTTGTTGTCTTTGTGCCAGTTTAATGTGCGCTGGCCGCTCAAGTTGACAGCGATAAAGTTGCGCCCAGGCCCTCTAGGCAGCGTCTGCAGCGGCTTCGTCCCCGCCCCCCGCTTCCCGCCACGACCAGCCCGACCAGCCTCTCTCGCACACTTTTCGCTCATTTCGCCATAAGGCGAATTTAGTGCAAAGCATCAGCTTTGCATCCTGTTGCCGATAAATATGAAGAGAGCCAGTTGCACAAGCGCGCTGCGCGATAAACATTTCGCAGCGGCGGCGTCGGCAGAGCCACTCGACCAAAGCCACCCACGACCCGACGACACGCATCGCAAAGAAGTGGTACGAATCGCACTATATTCGCCAAACAAAAAACTGCAGCATCGCTCACAACATAGAGCCCATTATTCAACTGCCATTTAATCTGTGGCAGTTAATTTTCTTCAATAAAATCTTTAGCTATCAGCTTTGTCATTTACACTTAAATAAATATATAATTTTTGTTAAAATATATTAATTTCGCCGCTTGCGGAAGTTTCTTAAGCAAAAGAAGTTCTCATATAAATATTTAGCCGGCTTTTTACGCATATTGCGCCATGGTACATCGCGTATATGTATATTTGTGTCTGTGTAAGTGCGCGCTTATGCTAGCGCTTCGTTTGTCTTCGGGCTCGTGCGCTCGTGTCGGTCGTGTCGCACGTTTCTTCTACGGTGCAGCGGCGTCCGCGTCAAAGTTCTTCCACTTTAACATTCGGTTGCGCGCCGTTGTACGAGACGGTCGCACAATTTTCGGTGCGTTTGCCTTAGTTAGCGGACCTCAGCGACGGCGACATCGAGTGCGATTCGCCTGGCCGCCAGGCTGTCTCTTAATTGTTATTCTTGTTCCTCTGACACGTTCCGTGCTCGTTGTGCAAATGCAATTTTTTGACAATAAATCACATTTTTTTTAGAGTGCTCAAACCAAGTGTTAAGAAAAATATAAATTTTTTTCTAGTGCTACGAAGGATAACGTACAAAACACGCGCGCGCCCCCATTGCATGATCGCTAAACATTTTGTGACTTTTGGCCAACTTTTTACTCATATCTAAGCATTTTTTCTTTTTTTTTTCTTTACTGCAGTCAAAGTCACAAAATTCAAAAAACATAAACGTACAAAGTGCGAAACTATGAACTAACCGAACAAATTAAATAACACAAACAGTGGTTAAACAACAAAAAAATTATATTAATTATTAACGTCGCGCGCGAAATTCAAACGGCAAAAAAAAAAGAAAAAAAAAATACTTCGGGCAGATCAATGAAAAGTCCAAAAAATGTAGAAAACTTTCAGTATTCGAGCTCTGTTGGAATTTCGAATTTCGGGACAGCTTCTGCTAAGCGCTGCTTCATAATTTTATCCCATATTCCTCGTCTTCTTTAACTGTTTCTTTTTTGCTCTTCGTTTTCTGGCGAATTCGCGTTTTGATTTCAGTTTTTTTTTTGTTGTTGCACTTTTTGCTTTGACGAGTGCAGCTTTCGGTTTCATACATAAAACTCCCGTTTTTTGTCAGACTTTTTTTTTGCATTTTAATTTTTTGTTTTCCCGCTGATGCAGCAGATAAATTAATTCGCCTGTTCCTGAGCAAACAATTGCTGAAAATTCGTTTTTCTCTCTTGCAGTGCCATAAACATCGTAACCTTTTTCATTTATTTACGTCTAAACGCATCAGACGCAACACCTCGAATACGAACCCAGCAACTGCCCAATACAATAAAATAGTTAAAGCCAACAACAAAATAACCGAATAGCTGCCAAATATCCCGTACACGCACACACACGCGTGCGCGCACACAAACACACAAACGATATGGGATCAACGGGATCCCAAACGGCCGCGACGTTGCGGCAGCGACATCCGCTGTCGCTGCTCTGGCGCCTCTTCGCCGTTGTCCTCGTTTTGAACGCCTGCCATGTACCGCTGCTGAATGCCAAGGTGAGTACCAAAGAGAGAGAGAGAGAGAGAGAGAGAGAGAGAGAGAGAGAGAGAGAGAGAGAGAGAGTGTGTGAGAAGAGAGTGCGTGAGAGTGAATTCATCTGAGCTAAACGGTTAACCAATTTAATTGCTTAGCTCAATGCAATCCTTTGCATGAGCACAACGCACAGAGCTTAACAGAGTTCTGTTAAACATTTAACATAACATGATCACAGAATTTTAACAGTTGCAAGGCCACACGTACAGCGAATATTAAGAAAACTTTGCATTTTATATATGTTAACAGAATCAATTATCCTGTGAGTCATGTTATGTTAAGCTAAGAGCTGGAGTTACTACAGACTGTTATGGTATATTATCTATAATATATGAAAATTTGAAAATTGTGAATTCTAATAAAGGATGTGTAGTTCTTAAAAAAAAAAACAACTGAAGTCTGGAATATTCTGATATGTGGCTATAAGATTTGAATTGAAGATAGCTATAGTTTTTGTATTATTATAAATTTGATTTCTCTCGGGACTTGTAAATGTGCAATGACTATAGAAACACTTTGATTTCGTGAGACAATCTTATATTAATGGCATTCCTCTAGCCATGGTGACAACATCTGGCCAACTCATGAATATGATTTCTAGAGAATATATATATGTGTATGTGTATGGCTAGAAGCATCAAGAATCTTTCTCACATTTCTGTTCAGCATCCTCACAAACTCATATACATACGTATATGTATATAGAGAGCTCGCATGATCTAGTTTTCTTAATGTATATGACACAACACGAAACGAACAACAACAACGAACTTGAACTATTTTACAACGCAGATACATAAATATTAAACAAAAAGCGAAAAGAGCAACACAAATAAAAAATAAATAAAAATAATGTGTAAAGAGGGCCCCCAGTGGGGAAACAGTTTCAAACAAACAAATACATATGCATAGACACATACACACATTTAGATATACATATATAAATATATTTATTTTTGTAAACCTTTTGCTGTTTGACCTTTGCTCGCTTGTAACAAATTAATAAAAAACCAATGAAAATGAGATCCATTAAAAAGTCGAAAGAAGCAGCACGCACCGCTTATCAGCGAGCGAGCGAGAAAGAGAGAGAGAGGACGAGGGAGAGGGAGTACGGCCTAGTGGCTCATTATGGTTCCACAAGCTGCTTCTAAGAACCGAATTTCGGCTACCCTAGCGTACAAAGATCTTTTAACCTGACACCGGATCTCGATTGCGACAATTTTGGATTATGAATTTTTTCTTTTAAATTAATTAATTTCAAAAATGACAGAAAAAAAAGATGAAAGAAAAACATATTAACAACAATTATTTCGTCTGTCGGGCCAAGTGCTTGGGTCAAGTGTTATTCGGGGCTATCAAATCGAAAACAGAATAAAATTCAAATTTATTTCAAAAAATTTATTTTCGTTGCTAATTTCGATTTCACAAATGTGATAATTTAATCTGTTTTTTTTTTTTCCTTCTTTGAATAAAATATTTGTTTTGCCAATTATAAAAGGCGTTCGATTGTCATCTAATTTCTCTATCTATGGCTGTGTGTGTGCATGTGCGTGCGTGTGTATGTGTGTGTGAGTGGCCATCATAATGAGCTGATAGCTAATGGCTGATAGCCGTCTTATCAGCGTGTTAATGACATGTAGTCGAAGAAGTCAACGTTGTCGTCGTCTCGCAATGAAATAATTTCTTAAATTAACATTTCAAAAAAATAAGAAGAAGACGAAGAAATGTGAAAAAACAAACATTGTGGGGGGAGTGAAGCATAACGCCAATAGCTGTAACTGACGGCTTATCGGTTCTGCAAAAGGAAAAACAAATGTGGAAGAAGCAGCACAGAATAAGAGCAGGCCATCGAATGGGAACAGTAACAAAGAGTTATGAGAGACATGTATATATCTATAAATATACATATGTATATGCATGTCGTTACATCCGGCGTATGCGTAATATGTTTACAGAATACGCATACGCACAGGTTCAAGCTGAGTGCAGAGTTTAACAGCTGTAACTTAACAGCCACACTCTTGCATTACATGAACTGCTTAACAGTGTAAAGGATGAGCTAACAGATTAAGAGAAGCGCGCTTAACAGCCTGACAGTTCAGTTTTGACCCTTAACAGCCACGCTTTTACATTACATGAACAGCATAACAGTGTGAAGGATGAGATTAAGAGAAGCGCGCTTAACAGCCTGACAGTTCAGTTTTGACCCTTAACAGCCACGCTCTTACATTACATGAACCGCTTAACAGTGTGAAGGATGAGTTAACAGATTAAGAGAAGCGCGCTTAACAGCCTGACAATTCAGTTTTAGGGCCTATAATATATCCATATATGGATTATTGCATTTTCTTGGCAACAGGTGTCGTGCGTGAAATGATCAGCTTGAACGCTAGATGTCGCTTGAAGGCATCGTTATGCAGGCGACCAATCCAATTAACAATCGTTAGTTAAAACAAAGAAATGTTGCAGCTGGCGCCGGCAGCACTTAGCCGCTCACTGCTAATCACAGTCATGAGATACAAATGTATCTACAAGTCAGCGAGAGCATCTAGTTGGGCATCTGCTGTAGATACGCCGACTGGTGTATGCACATAGATATATATGATATATATGTATGTATATGTGTGTCGACTGACAGATGTGGCCTGCATGTCATCAGGTTTCGTGCCTGTCCGTCCGTCCATCTCGCTGTCTGCCTGTCAAAATATTTGCAACGACAGCAAACAGTTGCCACAAAACTTGCAGGCTAGAGCTGGCTTTCATTTTGTTTCGTTTCATTCGTTTTGGCTTTTTGTTTTATGTTTTTATACACAGAATTTGTGTGCTCATTGTATTTGGCTTTTGCGCTGAGCAAATCAATTCTTGAGATACATTTCATTTGGCTGCTTTCTTTCGCATGTTGTAGGCTCTCGCCGTAGCTGTAGCCGCCGTCTCAATCGTTTGTTTTCACAACATATGGACGCAAGATGTTGCCACACAGCGCAGCCCATGTGTTGCCACATATATCGGCATACATGTAGATATATGTATATCTGTTTGGCATGTGCGATCTCTTGCAATTTTCCATGGAATCCAGCTGCTCCTGGCAACTGTTGCTGTTCGTGTCTCGATCCCAGCGGCAACAGTTGCTACTGCTGTCATTTCCCCAAACGTACGACACTTGAGCTCAAGTTCAGCAGCAGCAGCAGCAGCAGCAGCAACAATTGGCGCATGCATTAAATTTTAGCAAATAACTAAACCTAATACACAGTGGGACACCCGCCGCGCCCCTTGCCCGTCCGCCTCAGATAGCCGTAGATAGCGCAAAGTGTGTTGGCTTTGGCAATTGACAGCGGCTGGCGCTTCCGCCTTGCGTGCATTACATATGAGAGCTGTGAGGGCGAGACAAGTGGAGCGGGAGGAGCCAAGTCAGGAGTGAGAAGTACGGAGAGGCAAGTGAGGAGAGAGAAACAATGAGCTAGGTGATGAGAGAAAAGTAAGGGACAGGAATAAAGGCAAATGATATATGTATGTATATAGAGAGAGAAGACATAAAGATTAGGCTAGGAGAGAGAGAGAGAGAGAGAAAGTTAGAGAGAGAGAGAGATAAAGAGAAAGAATTAAAATAAGGCAGATAGATGAAAACTGAGAGAAAGTGAAAGACAATAACAACACATGGAAAGAATGGCAAAAGACAGAAATAATCGAGGAGATTTCAGTGAAATCTTCACGGAAGAAACCAGAAGAAATGGTTTCCTAGCGAAAGTACGTAACCCTTGTTTCGTAAAAGTAGAAACAAAAAGTGAGAAACTGAGATATATAAAAGAGATCTTGAAGAGCCTAAGGGAACTTGAGGAGCAGGAGGAACCAAAAGCGTTGGAGAAGTTTGAAGATTATGCAAAAAGCGAGATGCAAAAAGCGAGAGAGATACAGATTGAGAAAGATATATAGAGAGAGAGACAGACATAGACTGAGAAAAATTGAGAGAGAGAGAGCGAGAGCAAGAAAGGGAGTGAGAGAGAGAGAGGGAAATGGAATTGCCAGGATCAATGTGAGACGTTGGGAAACATGTCGTGCAATTCTCGGAACAATAATAGAGAAGCTAGCAGCAAGAGGTGAGAAGCGTGAAGTGAAGCGAACGATCGAGCAGCGTCACATCAACAATTAGTCAGCCAGTTGCCCTTCGTACCAAAACGGGCCAAAAATGCAGCAGCTAGAAGTCGAATCGGAGTCCGGGAGTCGGAGGGAGGGGGCTAAGGCACGCCAGTCCAACAGCTGGCCAACGTCCAACAACTGACAACAACAACAACAGCAACAGCAACAGCAACACGATGGGGAGCACCAATGAATAGGCAACAGTTATATGCATTTTGTAATAGCCAAGTCTGAAGCAAACATCTATAAATAGATGGCCAACACACACGCTGCGACAGAAACAACAGATACAAAATTCAGCCACAAGAAACATGCAAACGCATCAAAAAAACTCAATGTGTGTGTGTGTGCAGTTAGCAATCAAATGAAATGTGAAATACGAACGGCAAATGCCCTAACATGCACCTGCTAACTCTTCCTGTTTGCACTCGTGGAGCGTTAGTGAAATGCTAACCAATAGTTAAATAAAATGATAAGAACAAGGCCAAGACTTTAGCTGGAGTGCGATCGATTGACTGAAGGCCAGAAAATATTTGACTAGATGTCGCTCTATCAATAAGTTGCATTTCTATAACCAACGACAGCTATTGGTACTTCTGTTTGACTGCCCCGCATATATTTAACAAGCTGTTAAATCTATTGCTACTCATTGCCTCATATTTGCAATAGCCAGGCAGCCAATTGCTGGCTGGCCATAAGCAGTTAACATGCACATTTGATAGCCATATGTATATTCAAATATCTCGAATATATTTCGCATTGCCATGTTAAGTGTTGAGCATTTCAGTCAATTGAAGTGCGGCTATAAAATGCATAGGACTTAACATGA